GGGAAAAACCTAATGTAATATAACCGTGAATAATCCTAAGGACAGATTCCGCAGATACAAACGAGACCACGTTAGTCAAGATCTGCAGATCTTATTATGGTTACTAAGTTCCATGCCATATATTACAAAAAAGGGAATATCGCAGACTTGGCAAGACAACTGAAACAAAGCCTATCTTCAAGAAAAAATGATGAGTGTATAAGGTCATCTGCGCGTATGGCATTGTGCTAGCACTTGAGTAACGAACTACAATCGTAGCTGAATATGTCCTAACTTTCAATGATTGGACGCTCCCGAAAGCCAGCGAAAAGGTGAGGAATAGGGTGAGGCTTATGACACGATTCGATGACCTTAGTTTAAGATCATTTGACCACAGTAAAAATAGGAATGACAGTAGACAATCGTCAGTCCTTAGTGACATTCAAGTGCAAAAATATAGACGAACAGCAGAGAACAACGAGATCCGTCGGGTTCGTGTCCTCGTTCCATTCAAACAAAGCTAAATAAAACGGATAACTCTTCAAGGATGGAAGGTAAAATGTAGCCATTCTAGATGGTGTAATTGTTTTAGGAACTCAGTAAAGGTCTGCAAGCTCGAAGTCCGGAATCCAAATGTTGTCCTCTTAAAGTTCTGGAACTTACTGCAACACCATGCTGTTCTAACGCCCCTTGTATCTGTCTGCTAGATCCCTTGCGATTCTTTCGGCATTCCCTAAGCAGAAGTGAGTCGCCCCGAGCTACTATTGCTCTACTGCGACCACATTTACCGGAACGTTTAGGGGACAGGGGTAAATTTTTCTGCAATTGCTTTCGAATTTGGCTTACAGACGTTGGGCTAACACCAATCTGGTAGCAATTTCTGCTCACTTAACACTGCTTCATTCTTGCTGTATACTTAACATCAACCAATTTGTCATCATTTGCAAAACTCATTCACACTATGCCTTTCAGTGTTAAATGAACATTTTGTAAAGGGTCATTTACGAAATACTGATCTTGATGAATCTCTAATCAGTATATGTTTTTCTTGTAAAATGCATTGTTTACAGTGAAACCATTCGATTCTTACGAGATGTAAAGAAATCTGAAAAAGTTCGCTGGATTAAAAAAATATATAATAATTTGGCCAGCATTGTATAACGCAGCAAATATATCATATGGAAAACGGATGAGAGCTGACGGCAGAATTTGCCCTCGGTGTCTTCTGAGCTGCAGTTAGTGAGAGCAAACACTGAAGTAGCTTGAGCCGCACGCGTGCGGCTATTCGTCGCGATGAATTCGATCATAATGAGTTGTTGTAAGATTCGGTCCTTCCGGGATAAAAGGTTCATTCGGCAGAATACTCACTGAGAATGACAGCACAACTAGCTTGTAGAAGCCACACCATATATAACTAGGCTGCTTTCATAAGAAATGAGACTTCTACATTCATGAGATTCTTCCCTTTGAAAGAGAAACGAAAATTGGTAGCAGAGGTTGTTCTGATGGTGACCGAGCTCCGCTGTTCTTGGGAATCGAAGGTCCCCTACGCTACAATACTACATGCTATCAACAACGCAGGGATGACGGGTGAGAAAACTGCTACGAAATTCCTAAGCTCAGCGACCACGTCGGCCGCCACTAGATTCTCTATTCGCCTTGGTCAAACAAATTCACTCCGGCGTAGCCAAAGATTAACCAATCACCACAGATGCAGAGACATGTATGCGTCCAATCACCTGCTCCATTCGATTACGGAAGTATAGTCACTTGCTTCGTAAAGCAAATCAATCTCGTCAATTTGGTTGCATTCTTCCACCACATGAATAAAGCCATGTTACTAAGTCCAACGATAATGCCCAAATACTTCAAATCACCAACTCAGTATCACAAGAGGTGGGGAGAATAAATCTATTCCCAATGAACTCTGAGCCAAGTACGCGGGATTCCGTTGGGACGCGGCAGTCGTGTGTGTATCAAAAGCCCAGAAAACATCTGTCAGAATGAAAGAACTGATCCTTGACAGTGCTGGTATGGCACTCTGACACTAAGAGACTCCAAGTGGAAGGAGCATATTAGTTTGGGAGATGATACTTCGTGTATGCGATTATTATGATGATGAGGTTGGTAGTGCTAGGTGTCCTCCTGCAGTAAATGTGGAAGAAATGAGCGAAAGAAAAGTTTTAAAAAAGCAAAATTGTAGGTTCCTGGCGATGGAGTACATAGGCGGATGAAACTTGTGGGTTGTTCATTCAAAGAGATAGCTGTCGTTTGGGTGCAACCAATTATGGCCCTTGATTCAGTAGTCCGGCACACAACGATGAAGAGCCAACTAGAATGGCTAAGGCCAGTTACAAGAGGCCTTCGAAAAGCCTAGACAAATTGCGGGTGTTTTCTACAGTAGCAAATGATATACCAACGATTAGGCCAACAGTGTGTACTGGTCAAGTTGGCTGGTTTGAAGCAGGAGGTAGCTAAACAATAGGCCACAGGTTGTTCCTCAAAATCAAGGATAACCCATGACGCTGATGCCCAACACAAACCGACCTGAGTTAGTCAGTTGTAAAATGCCATAAGGTTCTGGTAAAACTAACAGAAAAGAATCCCTGACTTTCTTTTATAGTGCAAAGATCGACTTATTCCAGAGGCATAGAGGGAATAGAGTTCGATGGACCGGGGAAGCGCGTGGAAGAACTGTGTACGTTCCACTTCGATGCCCGCGAACTCTATCTGATGAGATGTACTAACATCGAAACGCGTCATAGGAGTGCAGTGTTTTCGGGCGAACAGCACCGAATTTCTATTTGTGTACGCACTTGTTCAGATGATGAATGCTTAACAGCTGAAAGAAAAAGGAAAAAACGAAAAATGGCGTGTGCAAAATAAATAAGATATTCCGCTTTTCCAGCCACACAATCGCTGAAGTGCGTTGCTCACCGACTGCCAACACATCATAATGATGACGAGGCAATTTTGTCATCTTCCGTTGCATTCCAGGATTTTTCTTGGCTCTATGTCTATTCATTAAACTGCTGATATATATATATATATATATATATATATATATATATATATATATATTAGATAAATTTAAGCTGGATAAATTTCATTCCACTTTATTTGGTTTGTTCTGCCAACCTGAATAATCTCCTATTAACTGGCCATGTCGCTAACGCTAATTGCGCTTATCTTCGATAATTTTGTTAGGTTCTGTTGCATTTTTAAGTAACATGCGGGCAAGTTTCCTTACCGCAGATTCGTTGCTAACCAACTTATTTCAAATCCTAATTTAGCGAAGAGTTATGCCACGGTATCTGTATGCGTTAGTGGATTTATATTATTTCACCTTGGCGTTTAAAGTGAATGGCTGTTGTCTGATATCCCCGGTGTGGCTGCGCTTGATGTGCATGTTGACAAGGTGACTACTTGTCTATTACCCACTACCTCGTAAATCCTGGCTCCGGGAACCAGTTAGTCGTTGCTGGAGGGGACTGGGTGCACGGTCGTTGTGGCCTGCTATGCTCAAAGAATGGTTCCATGCAATCAGTGTGGAGCGGACTACGGTCCAGCCACCGCCTTGTGTGCGTCTGATTCCCAAATACAATGTGCTTGTGTTTGACTGTGAAGGAGTGTGAGCCGGCTCCTTTGATGAAATGTGGCTCCCATCCACATGCCTCCCGGTCTTATTCCCTCGGGTTTACACTGGATATGGGGTGTGTAGTTGGAGCTGAGGGTGGTGCAGCGCAAGCCACCCATGGTCCCTCTGTAGGCGCAGGCATCCTGTGGTTGGCCACAGTGACAGGCAAATCCGAAACCGGATGCGGCCAACTATATATATATATATATATATATATATATATATATATATATATATATATATATATATATATATATATATATATATATACATATATATATATATATATATATATATATATATATATATATATATATATATATATATATATATATATATATATATATATATATATATATATATATATATATATATATATATATATATATATATAAAGTGCCTCATGCTAAGGTTGAAGTTGCATACATTGTGCCACTTCAGTACAGTTGGGCTACACCGACTAAAACTTCATTTAAATTTTCTTAATCTGAGTACAAAATATTCCACTATAGTTGATTTGCTCAGTTCTGTTATTGGGCTGCACATTCCGTGTCGATTATGCGTGTATAGTTTCCTACAAGTTATGTTGGTTGCTTGATATTCCCGGTGTGTCTTCGCTTAAAGTGAGTGATGACAAAGTGCCCATCTGTTTAACACCCACCACGACGATTTCTAGGTCCAGGAGACTGTACATCGTTGCCAGTGGGTTCGGGGTGCCCGGTCCTCGTGGCTGTGCTAGGCACAGGCAGTGGTTCCATTCAGTGTGGAGCGGATTACGCCCCAGTCACCGCCTTGCGTACGTCTGGTAAGCATTATTCCCAAATTAGATAGACAGGAATGCTGCTGCTGTGCATGTTAAAGTGTGGGCCGGCTCCGTTGATGAAAAGTGTCGCCCATACATATGCCTCCTGGTCTTATTCCTTCGGGTTTACACTGATTACAGGGTGTGCATGCAGCTGTGGATGGTGCAGCGTAAGCCACCCATGGTCCCTCTGTGGATGCAGGCGCCCTGTGTCCATCCTATGGTAGCCGAGGTGACGTAAATCCGAAACCGAATGTCGCTAAGCATATATAAACGCAAACTATCACATCATGTCAGGGTCTAACGTCATCGTAATGAAGACGAGGTAGCACTGCTAGCTATCATTCAGAGTGGTTCCGGTTAGCGAAGCGTTCTTTTTGCCTCACCTCGTTATATCCGTAGAGGCTCAATTATCAAATTGAGCTTTAACATAATAAGGACGTATGATAGCCCGGGCAATGCTCACTCTAGATTCGGTTATTGAAGTAAAGTGAGCAGCTAACATCACTAAGATAGAGATAAAAGAAAAAAGCATGACTGTAGTAAGTGGCTTTACACATTAGCGGATAACACGAGCAAGCAGCCGCGTAAAAGATATGACATGTTTAAAGAATATCTTGTTGCCTCTCGTGCACTTGCAGTAGTTTCGAAAATGCCTGAGATGTCACTCAATTCTTTCCTGTCTGTTGGCAGACATAAGTTTCTAACAATCGTAATAAGCCTTAAGGAGAAAAACTGCACGCCAAGCATGTGAGGAGCAACGGTTCGTAGTAAAGCGAAGAGAAGTTATGAGGAGACCGCCAATATGTAGAGAACCAGAAAAGATTGTGCCATACTCTTTGTTACATGCAACTCCCACTGGAACATGTATACATCAATTCAATGGTATGAGTCATCTTTTCGTCGCTCACGGTTATCTGATTGACTTTCTTCAAGCAGTTCAGAACTAGTACAGCAATCAGGTGTTCACACTGTTGCCCCATGAAGAAATGGAGGTCAAATCAACCTACCCAGATAGCGGAAGAGGTTGGAACGTTGGTCACTCGCGCAAGTCCAGTCGTCCAACAGGCGCAATAATTCACTGGATAACTGCAGTGTTGTAGGGCCCCTGAGTGGGATTGCACCTGACAAGATCAGCAGGGGTTTAAAAATACAGCCTACTTTGTAAACGCTTCTTCCAGATAATGAGCGTTCCAAAGTAACGGATCCACGATCAACAATATCCAAAGCAGGAACACTTAGTTCGCCGAAGAGGTCGTACATGCTACAATAAAATTATGTGAATTGCTGCTACCATAGCAAATATTTGTCTGGAATGGACTGATCCATCTTCACTTCACTCAGACTGGATATGAAGTCATCCGATACAAAACGGGGCACGGCAACCAGACTCATTATGCGAAAACCAACCTTAAAGTTTTCAAATGAGTGATATTCAGGCGTCAAGGGTGTACAACTGAAATGTAATAAGAAGCAGACATCATGCATCTGAACCAGACTAGACAAGATAACCCATTAGATGAAGAGATAAGACAGGGAAAATAGCACACTTCTCTATCTCGATCGATGGTTACGCATGCGTTCAAGTGACTGTAACCGGGCAAGAAAAAGGGATAGATGCAGGTAGAAGAGCCAAAACCCTTTTGTCGTGCTGAGCAGAAAAAGAAAGCCTCCACTGGAAACTTCAACGGAAAGTCTCGCTCAGGAATCAGATAAAATGGTGCCGGCTGAGCAACAAGAAACGGCAATTTTGCAAACACTTCAGGTTTAAACACCATAGACATACAGAATGGTGCAAGCAAGCGGGTGAACACGCGCGCATTCTGAAGCGTTTATCCGCCTCAAGAAAGGGACTGGTGCAGTTGTCCCGTTTACATACTGGTAGCAGTATTCAACATTGGGTCCTGGATTGCTCGCCGTGTCTGGATTGCGATAAGTTACCTCGATTGAGACAACTTGATGAACCGAAATCAGGACGAAACCGATCGGTCGTGGAGTGCAGAGAGAGAGTAGCTCCGAAACTCTCCACAAGGGTATCAGCATCTTTGATCTTAAGGCCTGTCTCGTAGAAAATTCGGAACAAATCATTATTAGTAATATCATACAAATACTTGTACTGAAGCATTGCTGGTAGGCAACCTCAAGCATGCGCATGGCAACGTGTCGGGGTGCCCAAATTCATGCAGCATTTGGACCCAAACTCTGAGTGTACAGGTTGCAAGCAGGACATTTGAAACGCTGCATCATGGATCATCGGACACATATAAGACGGCAGCTGATTTGTGGGCTGATAGATTAAAAATGAAGAGTGGCAACGGGCCGGTGAGATTTTTCCACATAAGACACCATGCGAAATCTCCTTACGATAGCCCAAATGACCTTAATCTAATGAAATGCCGTTGCAGAAAGATCTCTATCAGAAAATCACATCAATCAAATACATGTTATAAGGCTAACTGATATACTCACAATCTATAGTGAAAGCTGAAGTAATACTGGTTGAGAGTCTAAACTGGCTCAGTTAATTCGAAGAGAAATTAAATCGATCGGCTCAGGCGGAGAGGACTGAGTTGTCTATGGAGCCTGACCTGATATGACCCACTCTGACAGACGTCACTGGCTTCTTCATGAAAACAGATTAGATCGGCCGAGAAGAGAACCTACCTCGTTCATCATGAGTGTTCGATACGATAGGATCCTTTTCATGGCCACGCCATGTTCTGTCCGTGGTCGAAAGGACAAGGAGTCTGTCTTACAACCCGGAGATAGTGGGTTCGTGGTTGCGTAGGGGTTCGGGCAACGATCGCAGTATCCTTAGCATACGCGCATCTGGTGGTGTGCGTGGCAGCGAAGCGTCAGTACACCATGTTGCAGAACTCAGTCCTTCAGGGACAAGCGTTTATTCGGCAAAGGCAACTCAGCGAAAATTACAGCATGTTTAGCAAGCCAAACTCCTTGATATAAATTGCAGGTTCAAGTCGGTAACCAACAACCCTTCTGAGTCGATGAGATTCCTCCTTTGCTTCAGTTAGACAAACGGTGAATCACTCACACGAATATCGTTCAATCCGAGTCCAGTAATCAAATCTGTCACGTCCGCCTCCCATTGGCTATTTGTCTCGCTCGGTTGGTCCATCTGCTCATTCTGATCTGATACTACCATCACATACTCCCTACTTTCGTGTTCTTACGCCACCATATTGTTATTTACCCCGTACACCTTACCACTTCGCGTCGTCGTCCCTGAATCTGCGGCCGTGGTCTCCTCGCCCCACGTCATCTGCCACTCCACTCCAAATCCACATTGTTGTCGCCGGTGTCATCTCAAATGCACTCGATTTCTTCTGAACGTTTTCCCTCCAGTTTATTTCGTATGGCCTAGCACCGACCCTCGCAATCACCTCACCTTTCTTCCACCGCTCTTGAATATCGCGTAACGGTTGAACCCACACTTCCTCTCCTACTGTTAGCTCAGGCAGTACCCGTGCATCGCGGTCATAGTACCGTTTCTGAGTGGTCATTCGACGTCTCAGATTGTTCTGTAATCGTTCGTGCTGTGGCAAAACTGGGCGCAAAAGTGTGGCAGATGCCGGCATCAGCGTTCTAGCCCTTCGGCTGTATAGGAGCTACACCGGGCTCAAACCGATATTTGTTGAAGGAGTGTTGCGGTTCTCCAGTAGCATGAGGTACGGGTCCTCGCCAGTTGCTCTAGCCTCTGATAACAGTCGCTTGGCCTGCTTCACTGCCGACTCCGCCTTTCCATTCGATTGACTGTGATATGGGCTGGTTTGCTGGTGCACGAATTCCCACTTGATTGCGAAAGCCTGGAATGCACCGCTGGTAAACTGGGACCCGCCTCATCTGGTATACTGTGTCGCGCGAACTGACATTATGAGCTTGTTAATTACTGCCTCTGTGGTCGTAGTGGTGAGTAGATCGATTTCAAAATAATCACTATAGTAATCCACCGTTAGTAAATAATCTTTCCCGTTATCACCGAATGAATCCACCGCCATCTTCTGCCACGGTCGATCAGGGACATCATGCAGCATCATTGGTTCCCTCATCTACCGGATTTTGTGTGAATAGCATGCCTCACAATTCGTTACGTGATCTTTTATTTGACCTGTCATTCCTGACCTAAAGATCATTTCTCTTGCTCGGTTAATGGTATAGTTGGCACCAAGGTAAGCGCGATAAACGTATTTCAGCATTTATCCTCGGAGCGATGACGGAGTCAGAATACGGCTTCGCTTGAACAGCGAACCATCCTAGACAGGGAGTTCATCCCGAAAATTGAAGTAGGGTATTAGTTCCTTCGGTAGCTGCTTCTTTGTTTCTGGCCACCCATTTAGAATATTGACTCATATGGCTGAAAGTGTTGCATCTTCCTCTGTGTGGCGCCTCATTTTTTAGGAGATCTTCTGTCACTGACAGTTGCTGTAGTAAGTGTACTGCTTCGGCCTCTTCCGGAGTATGCTCGGGTACCAGCAGATGAGCTCTTGACATTGTATCCGCGATGAACATCTGTGCACCAGGTGTACACACAATATCTACGTCGTACTTTCGAAGCCGGATAAGTATACGCTGAAGGCGACGAGGAACGACGTGGAGCGGTTTCCTGGTTATTGACACAAGCGGCTTGTGGTCGGTATACAACGTTGTCTTCCGAAAGTATAATCGTTGAAACGCTCCATGGCACAGACTACCGCAAGCATCGCCTTCTCTATCTGCGCATACGCTGCTCGGTCATGGTGAATGCGCGACTGCGGAAATCCAAATGTTTTCCATTCTGTAATAGAACAACACCTATTCCGTCTTGGCTACTGTCACAATGTCTCTCCACAGGCTACGCTGGATCATAATACCCGAGTACAGACGCGTTGCTGATGAGGTGCTTAATAGTTTCGAATGCGGTTTCCTGTACTTTTCCCCAACTCCACTTTACTCCTTTGTGAGTTAACTTCCTGATCGGCGTCATGATATCAGCTAGTCTTGGCATAAAACGGCTCAAGTAATTCACCATACAGTTTAAGCGATGGATTCCCTTCACGTCATTAGGAGGCGGCATCTCTCATGTGCATAAGAGACACACGAAGAATCCAGAGGGTAGAGGAAGCGAACACCTCAAGTCGAAAATACAGGCGATTAGAAAAACTGCATCAAAATGTATCCCCGAAAGGATCTAGTGCGATGTAGGACTATATTTACACATACAATGACATCAATAAGACCGAGTGTATCTTCCACGCGGAAGCGATATTTGCATGGCCATTGGGGCATTGTCGAGGATAGTGCAGTGTTTTACACAAACGCATCAGCCGCATCACTATTAAGCATAGGTGAACACAGTTGTCATGATCGATCAGAATGTAGAAAGTAAAACCTGAGTCTTACAGTAGGTACTTCAGGTCCACATTATAGGCTTTATAGATGCGAAATGGGGTCTTCAGATACAGTGTCCGCAGAGACGTGTGTGCGGAATTATGGGACTAGTGACTTCAAATCCCGAGAACCTTAGAAGTGTCAGGTAGAGGTGATTGAAACATGTAGGCACTGAATAACAGTATGTGCGTATGTAATTTCCGCGCCAGAATAGTCATTATGTAGGCAACGTCGAAACGTTGAAAATTGATATCAACTGCTCCGTAATTCATTTCCTGACGTATGGGATGGCTGGAATATAAGAGGCCAGCCTCGGTGATTGGCTCCCATAACGAAAAGTAATGGAAGAGTGCTCCAGTGGGACAATGAACCATCTCTTAGGCTAGGAAATTGTATACGTGAACAAAGTATCGTCGTCACTACCACGCTGGGATGCCTCACGTGAGACTCACTACTTTGTGAGGTTCGATGACTATCTGAGAATGGGTGGTACTCCAATATGCTGTTTGGAGTGGAGGTTGGATAACTGAGACCAGAAATCAGTTAAATATACATTTTATTGTAATTGCTATGGGAGTAAGAGATGAATATCATCATCCTAAACAGCAGTGCATCAGACACTGGAACTGTTGCGTCGCTGCCGTACAAGCACGGTGACCTACGGAACGAAGAACAATAGGAGGGAGGGAAGTGGGGCCTACGGTAAAACCTAAATGCCATAAACGAACATTCGGCGTCAACGTGTCTACACCTTGTCAACAACATGCTATCACAAACAGCTGGCTATCGTGCAAAGATAAGGTGGCATCGGCGAGATAGCATCCTTGCGGCTTACAATGTCCCGCGTCATAATCAGCCATTACCCAGAAGATAATTCAGCACCAAAAACACGTTAAACAATCAGTACGACTAGGAAACGACAGCAGACAAGTCACTGGTGTAGACTGCGAGACATGTTCCGTAGTCTCAAGCGAAGCACTAGGCGAGTTTCGTGGACCCCAGCCTGGAAAGCGTGACGCACCGACGGCAACGAGTTTGATCGTCAGTGACTTCATTTCTCGCGGCCAGGTTA